ACTTCATAAAAATATGAGAGTCAATAATGATCATGATAACGAATATTTTAAAGACTATTAGTTAAATATCGGAAATGGAACTGTACCTACAGTTGATGATGACATGATTCGTATTCCAGATAACATGATTATTCCTTGAAAAAACGAAGATTCATTACAATCGCTTATAGGATATGTTTATTCTGATCCACCAGAATATTATTCTTACTTCACAGATCGAGCAATCCTTACTACCAAAAATGAATATGTTAATCACATTAATAACATAATCTTAGATCAGATGCCTGGTAAAGCTATAATATTCCATAGTTATGACTCTGTTCCCGATGACACACGAGGACTTTATCAGCAAGAATTTCTTAATTCTATAACCTCAAACGGCCTTCCTCCTCATGAACTGCGCTTAAAAGTAGGTTCACCTATCATGTGTCTTCGTAACTTAGATCCAATGAATGGTCTATGTAATGGAACAAGATTAGTTTGTCGAACATTCTATCCGAATTTAATTGAAGCCATAATAACAACAGGAAATTGTAAAGGAAACATTGTGTTTCTTCCTCGAATACCTTTAATTCCTCCTGAAAACGTTAAACTTCCTTTCACATTGAAAAGAAAACAATTTCCGGTTAGACCTGCATTTGCATTGACAATCAATAAATCACAGGATCAGACTATACCTCGCGTAGGCCTTTACCTCCCTGAACATGTATTTACACATGGTCAACTTTATGTCGCATTCTCACGAGCCAAATCTCAACATGATATCAAAATATTGGTAAAAATGGAAATATTCCAGGAACACAAGGTACTTTTACTCGCAACATTGTTTACAAAGAAATATTAGAAAACTGAATTCCGTAAACAATAAATATTGAACAAATGATGTGAATTTTAATACTTATACCCACCATTATTAATATCGCAATTCATTATTAAACTAAGACATACATAGATTTAAAAATCATCAGCGCGATATAAATTTTCAAAATATTAATAAAAAACTTACAAATTGAAATTTCAAAATAAGTAATTTTAAATTCACATTTTAAAGATAAATACAATCAAATTTTTAACATAGTAACTGGAAAATAAAAATTTAAAAATACAAAATTTACATAAAAATAAATAAATAAACATATAAAACTGTAAAATCATTTTTACCATCTAAAAGTTATCACAGGATCAATAAAATTTAGTAAAACAATCTATATCAAATTACCGCATAGTTCGATAAGACAACATTCACGATGTTCAAATCTTAAATTTAAAATATTACTAGCTAACAAAAATAAATCATACACATTATACTTAT